AAACCATAATATAAGGACATGACCGAAATGTGCACACCAGAATCGAGAACCTTGTTTTCCTCACCTGCTGAATTCCAAGACTTCGCCATTCTGTTTCAGACATGAGACGATTTTTCGGTATGAGCTTGGCGACCTCTTTAGTAACATGGACATGCCTGTACTCGTATTCGTCGTCTTCGTACTTGTTGGAATAATAGAAATCGTTTTGACCAGTGGTCATGACTCTACAATAGCCTCTTTTAATTATCTGGAAACATGAATAAAATATACGCACGACTATCTATAACATACTTGTGGATGAGAAGACTCAAAATTTGCTCATTCGCTACACAAATGAAATGAGTAGATGCGAAGATATACGCCAGTTCGCTGCGGATGAGGGGGTGTGTCAGGCAGTATGAGTTGACACAGCGCTAAGCCCATTCTCTGTCAGTTGTTGAAGCGAGAACAACTGGTAGAAAACGAGGGATACAAACGATATGATACTAAATTCACACTTCGCTCGCTTCAACAAGTATGAAAAACAGGTTTCGTACCTTGCAAAAATCATCCCACCTGACACGCCCCTTGGGTCGCAGCGAACTAGACTATATGCCGAAGTAAACTGTATATACAGAGTAGAGGACGACGGAACACAAGACATGCGTGGTGGGGGGAGAGAGGGGAGGAAAGCATTTTGCTCATGATACTCACCATCAAAGCTCACATCGAATAAAGAGCAGGGCGAAGGTAAAACCCTATACAACATACTCCTGAGCCAAGCAACACTCAGCTAACTTTCAACGTCCCTATGGTTCAGTATTTACTGATCATAACTCAAAGTGACAACCAAGCTAATCGTCAAGCGTCCTGGGATCCCACCCACGTCAGTTCCACAGATTCTAAAGATACTAGGATTGTAGCTAGGGTCCAAAGTTAAGTGTCCACGTAACCCACTTACTCCGCGGCTCCTTGTTAAATGTTCTAGAGTTGCGTTCCATGAGCGAAGTGTCTTTTACTGCTCTCCCTCCCCTTCCCGTCTGCGAAACATTTACGTCTGCGAAATCATTTACGACCAGCCCCCTTAAACAAATACAAGACAAATCTGGGAGATTTACAATGCAATAATATGAGCATATACAATGGCACATAAAATAATGTGAGAATTGTATATAATATCACACGAAAGTCAAAACACTCAAATTCAGGGATAGAAATATACAAAACGAAATCAAATAAGTGAGCAAGAACCATATCAGAAATGATAAAAAATTTCTAATCCTGGAAAACTTCCTGACTCTTGATAAAAGAAACGATATCTTCCCCATCCTGAAAAAAAGATAAACAGCAGCGTAAGCCAAACAACCCCTTTGGATAAGAGACAACTCACATCAACCATTCTAGCAAAATCGGCAACGGTCATCGGGATAGTAACAGAATACATGTCTCCATCTACTGAAAACTTCACCCGTAGTGCTGAAGAAGGTCGATCACATGAAGATGCCGTGGTAACTAAAGTGAAAGGGTGAAAGTGAAGTGAAAACAATTTTCAAAAAACGATTAATTTTACAATAAGCCACTCGCTTACCTATCAAGGCATACTCCAAAATTGTCGGGTCTAGAGGCATCTAAAACATCGCTGTATTTGTGACATAGAAGCACTCCTTACAATTAAACAAAGCGATTCCAGATAAGGAGAGTCAACTCTTTCAAAGCTCACTGTATAGCAATGCAAATAGACTTCATTGCAATACAAGAAAATATTGAGATCAAGGTTAAACAAAGTCTTAAAATTTAAAATAAGCCCACTCGGAATATTAAAAATGTCACTGATTTTTGATCAGGATTTAGCACAGAATACGACGTAAAAATATGTACAAAACATTCACAAATGCGGTTCCCTATGTTTTCATATCGCTATCCTCAGAAGCCGCCTGAATCACTGTCGTTCCGCTTTTTTCCGAACCTTCGACCACGCCTTTTCGCTTTCTTTGCTGTCGGACCATTCAAAAGTCCAGCGGTATTGCAATAGGATGGTATCTGCAATAAAAGCAATGCAATCGCTAGCTTTAGATCACCCAAAAACATGCAGCTATACCTCTTCACCGTCAAAAATCCGCTCCAGGCGAGTGACCGAATAGTCATCCGCAACTGCTACTATAAGTCGACCATTAGCACCAA